AAAGAGCGAAAAGTGTTATATTCAAACGAAAACCTAAACTACTCTTTGATTGCTTTGATCGCCGCGTAAAACCGTTGTCAAAAAAGTACCTTCCCATGACATATGAAGCAAAAAGTACAATCAGCATATCCACTCTTAAGTCCGCATCTGCAGATAGATTTACAGATGATGAGAGTATGTTCAACTTAAATAATGCTTACACTAAAATTTCCCAAGAGAAGAAAAGAAAAAGTTTGTACATGTGTTTGTACTACTTTGCCTGGGTACTGTGTTTCGTATCAGTGTTAACATCGGCTTTCTTCACCTTGTCGTACTCTCTTCAATGGGGAAGCGAAAGGTCTCAGCAATGGCTTCTGTCGTTTTTCGTCTCTTTCATCCAAGATGCTGCAATCTCTCAGCCAGTTAAAGTCGCCCTATTTTCGGCTGTAATTGCCTTTGTCATCAAATTTACCCTTGAGCAAAAAGAGAAGCGCCAACAGTTTAAGAGGAAAAAGGTAACATTAAATGATAAAGGTGAAAAAGCTTGCCTAATTGAAACTCAATCTGAGGACAGTATACCATGGGATGATTCCCAGCCATTGCGGAAGAATATTTTGGAAAAGGCGAAAATGAAAAGGATGAAAGAAATCAAGTCCTCAGAAGTCATGACTGATGTGTTTTTTTACTCTCTGTTTCTCCTACTGCTGCTTATGGTGGCATACGGACACCGTGACCCAATTGCTTATGAGTACACTAAGCACTTGGAGAATTATTTCTCTATAGAGGTAAGTCCAATCTCTCAAATCTCTCGTATCCGTCGCCTCATTTAAGGAGCAAGCTCCATTCAAAGTAACGTGCAATGAAAAAGATTCCCCATTGAAGAAACTACTACCACCAGACTGAGGATGTTTAGAAAAGGTGGGAGGGGTGGGAGAAACACAAAAGGTAGTGACATTTGAACAGCGAAGTTTTCGTAATTTTTGGCACATGTAGATTGGAGCTCTCATGCGGAAAATGATGCCCCTTAGATAAAAAGGGGAAAAACTGTGGTATCTACGATTATAGCACTGTATGTTTCGAGACAGTAAGTCCAATTTGTGTAATTATATTTATCTTAGTACAATAACCCTGTTGCTCAATGAAATCATTACTACCGTTACATTCTCCTTAGACTCAACAATATCCCGAGGTTTTACACTGGGTTAGATATATCTTCATTCCACAAATTTTTGTCGGCTCATGGTACAATGGGATGGCCCCTACGGATTCAGAAGATGGATATTTGCCTGATAGGACTTCATCTCTCGTGGGAATGGCTCGGTTGAGGCAACTTCGAATTTTGAATGGTGAGGCGTCTTTTGCATTTTCTGTCGCCATAACTCTCTGTCTATTCATCTGTGTACTGGTCTGCTTTTCTCCCTTCTGCTTGCTACTTATTTGCGTGATGGCTTGCCTGAGTATCTTACGTTCTGTATGTTCATTCGTATTGAGTCCATCAGTGACCTACTGTTATCAACCTCGTTGACAATAACAAACTGTTAAGGTTTTATTTCTTTTTGAACTTGACGAAGCTCCAATAATGGGGGAAGGAGAATTTCAACATATACGTCATCTCCTCTTACCTACCTTTGATGTAAAACAGCTTCGTTATTCGAAGTGTAAATGTTCTTTTTTTTGGTCTTCAGTACTTAAGCAATGCTCTTTGAGTTTCTGCAAACGATATTTGAAGTAGGTTTTGATTTTAATAAATCAGTTATTTTGCTGGCCTAAAAATTTAGATCCGAGGTAATTGAAAACTGAACTTGTAGGAAAATTGTAGTTCCACACGTATAGAATTAAAAAATAATGATTTTCAGTTGACAATAGCACTTTCATTAGTTTCAAACGTACGGAGATAACTGACATCACTATTTTGCAGATACATGTGGCAACTACATTCAATTGAATGAAAAACTTGGCTTAAACTGTTATGGACAGTATTCGATGGATGATGAAGATACAAGCATCTATCAAGAAGAATGGGTACCGGTCTCTCCGGATATACCTATTGAAAACATTACTTACCACATGTGCCCCAGACCCTGGAGGTATCAAACAGCAATGCAGTTGAAAGGGGTTCCAATATGGGGTAAAATCGCCTTATACTCAGGGGGTGGATATGTGGCAGAGCTTGGTTACTACCCTGATAAGGCGATAGAGGTGGTTAGCGAACTTTTCGAGCATAACTGGGTTGATCGTCGCTCTCGCGCCGTTTTCGTTGAGCTAACTGTGTACAACGCTCAAGTGAATCTGTTTTGCGTCATCTCGCTTCTGATGGAGGTCATGCCAACTGGGGGAGTGGCAATCTTCCGTCGAATTAATACCATTCGAGTTTATAGATACATAGGAGAGCTCGCTAACTTGTCAATAGCCGCAGAGCTTATCATTGTATTGGTTATCTTGTACCTTCTTTACAAGGTCATCAAAAGAATATACCATAAGAGGATAGCATTTTTCAAAAAGTTTTGGAATTTAGTGGATCTGCTGCAAGTACTTTTTGCTCTTGTTTCTATTGGGTTGTATTTTGTCAAGATGGTGAATATCAACATGATCATGAAAGATCTCAGCGAAAATCCATATGTTTTTGTCAGTTTTTCATTGCTTCTAACGTGGAACGAAATTGATACGTGCATGATATCGTTTGTTGTGTTCCTTACAACTCTTAAGCTCCTTTATTTGTTGAGATACAATAACTACATCAAACTCCTAAACCAAACATTTTCCAATATGCGAACGGATATACTTTTATTCATGGTGCAATTTCTCTTGTGGTTTATGCCGTTTGTCATTTTAGCTCACATTACGTTTGGTGCCCATTTACAAGACTTCATCTCCCTTCCTTCTGCATTTCAAGCAATGTTAAATGCTCTCCTGGGCGCGTCCTACTATCATGATTTAGAGCAGGTTGACCGAGTGATCGGACCAGCTCTGTTTTTCTGCTTCAGTATTCTCATGGAACTCATCTTACTCAATATGTTTGTATCAATAATCAACTCGGCGTTCGGCAGTAGAGTGGAAAATTTGGATCATTCCCAACCCGAACCAGAACTAGTTGAGTTTATAATGGCACGGCTGAGAGGAATTTTAGGGGTCAACCTGCTCTCTACGAGAGTTACTCCCGACGAAAAATGGTACGTGGATGATTCCAGTGACGAAGACAATGACCTCAGGTTATTGAGTACCAAAAACACTTTATCTGTGCTGAACAGAAAATTAACACATTTACAGACAAAATTTACGAACGTAACGACCATGGAGGAAGAAGAGGAGGATGATGTTTGGCTGGAAATGGTTCTTTTGCGAGAACACGAAAGTCTGGCTTCTTCACGGAGTGAGGGTTCAGCCACGACACAGACATCTTTTTGAATCTATGCCACGACTCCTGAAATAACTTGATATTATCGCTCTATTTATTATGCAAAAAGCTTTCAAACGTTTCCAATTGAGTAGCGATCATAGTCAATGACCAAAAGGGGTGAGGGGGGAGGGGGTGGTGGGGGAGAATACTCTTTTTATAAGCTTTATAAGTATGCTCTACCTCACAGAATGTGTTTTTTTTTCAATCTTACCAGGTCTGTAAACTGCTATAGTTCTCCATCGTCACTAGGCATTAGATATGTTTTTCAGTCATTGAAGCCACTACAGTTACGCGTATTTTTTTTCTGAACTCGATGTCTATGATAGAGGAGGTGAAAGAACCAAACTACATCATAAACAAATTGCGTCGAAGACAGGACACATTTGGCGGTCGTTTTAGATCAGGAAAATGCTACAAGTAATGTTATTATCATTGTGAGTAATTAAATGCACCTTGACACCTCCTACACACAATTAATCTTAGGAAAGATGCTATAAATAATATCCTAGAGATGTGTCATGGTTGCATTTTTTTAAAGGTAGTGTTGTATGTATGAACTTTGTTGGATAAAAATGATAAAAAAAATGTTTAATTAACATAGAATAAAACAAAAAGAAACTATGGAAAAGATTAAGAAAGTTGCAAGATTTAGCATATATGAGCTGAATAAACCGTTGCAGTATTTTTCCAATTGTTTTGTTCGACTGTAATTTTATTAAGAAACAATCTTGGCTGTGAATTGTGCTTCTCAGATCCCCTTTCTGGACTCTTTTGCGATACAGTGGAGTAGAATACAATACAAAGCCGCAAACAAAGCTCTTCCCCTCTGTACCCTGGTGAAGTATAATAAACAGTAGTGACTACAAGTCAGGAATCAGGAAAGGGGCCGGGGAAGTTTGGAAAATGGAACAGGAAAAGACCAGAAGCTGAAGGGATTTGCAAAAATTTGAAGATGCTTAAATCTTGGCACTCTTGTGTTATGTTTTGGGCGAGAGAAAGGACTCAAGGCTAGTTGTGGGAGGTGGGAACAAAAAAAAAGGGCCAATCTGACCCCCCACCCCCTCACCATACTACTTACAGATACACGCATCTATACACGCTAAATTCAAAGCATTCACATCGATTTCAGTAGTCTTATAAACTAATAAGGCCTAAAGGAACAAGAATTTGACTTCAAGACATTTTGCGTGGCTAATCCAAGTCTGTGCCAAGAAAACAGCTCGCTCAGAATCGTGGAAGCACTGGACTAATTATTGAGAAGGTATTGCGCTAAAATCACGTGGCTATTCACGTAAAAATAGACAAAAAGCTTCATTGCCGCTGTTTTCAACCAAACGATTTCCTGAGGCTATCGCAGACATAATATAATATATGCGTTGATTTTTTATCGGACTAGCGTTGACCATGGCTAAAGGTAGACTTCCTCGCTAATTTTTTTGATATCTTTGATTGGTAACATAAGTAGTAAAAAATTGACTTTGGTCTGTGATCGGTGCTGTCAGGTAAGCTGCATAGCCAATATAAGAAGACCTAAGGGAGTCGCGTTTATAATCATGAACAGCTAACACCTCTTTGGGGTTGTTTTTTTGTAAAGTTTACTTAATCAACGACGTCCAGAGCAAAATATATCTGTTTCCATTTTATTGCATTCTAAATATAGCTACCGTTCTAGTCAAATATTAAGCTATTAAATCTGTTCTGTGTGTTCGGAATAATTTTTCGTATTTTTCTGTCCTTCGATCTAAAACACAATCAGCCAAGAGTGCCTTTGATGATGATATTTGACAACTGAGCCAAAACTCATGTCCTCTTGATTTCAGTGAATGATTACAACACTGTTCCGAGACTAATCTATACCATTCGCAACGGTAATGTTCCCACGAAACCGTTTTTCCATGACGATCTCCTCCGAGAAGTTCTTCTTGACATCAAAATTGAAGCTGATACTGCCTCCTCGAAATTTTCATGGCTGATGAAAGTTCCGTGATGGTTCTCATCATTCAGGAACAATAGCAGCGCCAGCTGAACAACGTCACTGAAGTGGCTTTTAGTGTAGGTACCAACAACCTTTGTCCACCATCAACTGTGTTATAGTGTTCACTTCTCGGCCCGATACTTTTCCAGCCACGTCTTTACTACGCTCATGTTGTAACCCATTGGTCCAGGCCCACCTTCATAACGAACCTTTCTGTCCTGAATAATGTGAAACCGGATTGGAAGAGCACCATAAGCAATATTTGCCGTGTCAAGCATAGTATCTACTACCACTGGACATTCTGGAATTTTTCGCGCCAATTCTCTGGCAGCTTTACATCTTTCGGCTTGCGTTCTGTGTGTTCTGATGTTGTAGTTGTTCTGCAAGGAAAAGTGACAAATTCATTAAAGAAAGCTTCCAAAATATCACCTTCCAGTCTTGATATATTTGGCAACAGGCCAGGACTGAAAATTTAGTCCCTAGCCAAAGTCTTTCAGCGATGGAGAGGGAGGTCTCTGTCACTCTTTTTTTTCATTCACCATCTAAGTGATTGAGGCTTAGGTCAAAATGTCTTTGTGAGAAAATTTTTCGATTGAGGCAAAATATGTGCCACGAGTACAATGAAAAGGGGGTGTCCGTTTCCCGACCAGATTAAATAATCGGCTAAAAACCGGAAAAGTCATCTTACCTTTAAAGCCCAACCATCTGCGGGATGAGCCTCCTCGATGTAAACAACACAAAAATCTGCGATGTCCTTGAATTGGTCGACCATTTCTTGAAAGTCGTTCAACTGACTCATAAATATAGGACAGGTACAGCTTCCAAAGTTCAAAACAAGGGGCCGTCCAGCTTTGGCCACCTCTAATAGCGGAAAACAAATATTTCCAGACAATGTCACTACTGGGCTGTTTGGAGCGTCGCCTCCTTGCTTGGCCTTCTTGTTCATGTCCAAAGCCACGCTATGCCACACGTTCTGGAACATTTGATCGGAGAACAAGGAGTCCCAATATGAAGTAACCGGTAGCTTTACCTTAGTAATCATGTCGAAGGCTCTGATGATGCTTTTCCGGAAGGATGGGAAAGATTTCAGGAGTGAACCAACTGAAAATACCAGCACTAGCATGCTGTAAGCTACGAACACTTGAGCTACTTGCACAATCTGGATGAACATGTTGACACCGCCAGGTACCGTCTGAAACTGAGCTCCTTAACAACTCTACACGGCGTTTTTAATCATAACAGAAACTGTTGTTAATACGTGATTCGTGCTAATTCTTCCCACTGATTACACGAAAACAATAGAATGCTCAAGTCTCTTGAAATCTCTCTGGTTCTTTCCTTGCATCATTGATTATGGAATTCAATCAATATTCCAGTACAGTAATGCGCGCTTTTCAATTCTACAGGAAATACCTGACCTGACCACACAGATTTGAATTGTTCAAATGATTACCAAATTTGTACCATTTTCATCCTGTTGTCGTCAGAGGAAATGATTTTTCGTCCCTTGAAAATTTGGCAAACAAAATATCGTGGCCAGGCCTGCCAATAAACCAATAGGGATCTTTTGTCTACAACGCGATAATATCAGGCGTGCACCTTAAAAACAGGCAATGTTTTTCAATTTTCTGTACACGTATTCCCAGCTATTTTCTATGCCTGTGCAGAGATTTATTCACACCGAGTTTTTGTTTGAGCGATTAGCCTATGTGCAGACTTTTTTCAGGGAAAAAAAACCTTCGTGTGTTATTGAATGTGTTTGTGTGCAGACCATACATGAGCTTATACGTTTCACAATACTTCAAAAGAATTACGAGTACATTCCGGCTGTATGATCCTAGGAAATTATTCCTTTGGGACGCCTTTAGGCTGTTTTGCAAGAACAACCTCTAGCTATCTAACTAGGCTAAACTTTTATGCCTCGGAAGAAAACGAAACATCGACTTAGCAAGGTAAAAGGATAAACGTCCGAGTTTATTTTCAACAGTATTTGTTTTGTCAAGGACATTTTGTTGATGTTGCCATGGTCTTAAAACGATTTTTGCAACTCCCTGTTGTGTGACACGGCCGTAGAGTTCGTGATGCTACGTAAACACGCAGACACATTCTGTTGGAGACGGGTAGAAGTCCTGCGTAGGTCGTCCGTATGAAATCACGTACACCCGTTCAGGAAATGAGACTGGTGCATAAACATGACTTCAGTTAACTTGTTATGGTGCAATGATTGTGTAACCTCAAATATTTTACTTTCTATATGCACTCTCATTGCACGTTCTGTCACCATCCTATCCGTAATGAGGTAAATTATATCTTAAGACTTCATTTTTTATTTCTGTCAAAATGAAAAAGGATTACTAAGTTTTCTTACAACGCACAACTATGTAAGTGTCATTCGTGGGCACATTGAAAAAATGTTCCTCATTTTTGCGATGATAGGTCACTCTTAGCTGGTACATTGATAAGTGACATTCAAGATCATCATGATGCAATATTCTATTTTCTGATCATTAGTAAGGAAATCACGTGAAGGAAGGAACATGTTTTCGGACCGGGCTTTATCAATGGAAAAGGTCGATTTCCATTTCATCATCCAAAGTACAAGTTACCAAAGAGTATCATATTCTAGGTGTTTAAAAATCCAGCTCAAGACCGTCGCAATTCGTGTGGATGAGATGATGTGTTCGCCTGATTTCGTGGTCCTGTTAGTTTGGTATGACGTCAATGGAGAGGCAGTTCGTGTCCTAGAGAATCATCAAACAAAGAATCTTACTTGTTTCATACAGCAACTAACTGAAAAAAACACGCTACTCTGGAGAAAAGGCAAATGCTATACACACACTGCACGATCGTTGCCAAGATAACCTTGGTCTTACTTCTTTAGAGGACTCGAGTCTTCGTTGTCAGGCTTTATATATTATACCATCACCAATCACACACGTTACTCCTCTGTCCTGTTTGACCAAAAATCTTTCAAGGTGGGTGATTATGAGAATCGTGGATTTGATCAGCGCCTGAATTTTTTTACTTTTAAATTCACACTGGTGAATTGTAATTTTTTAAAATCCTTGGCAAATCAAAATACTATACTGGCTAAATCTTACTAATTGCTGTTTATTTCAGGTTTAATGGCCAGCGACGTCTTTCGTGGCGTCCCGACCGAAGATACCAAAATAATATCACTTGTTGATAGCGCATTTCACTGGCTACACGTGATTGCGACGTGTTGACCAAATGGTTAACTAGCTGGCTTCACGGGTCTGGCATTGACCCAGAGCCGGTTCACTGATCTGTTTCCTTGAGGCGAACACGTAATTATCGCGATGAGATTCACTTCTAAACAAACGTATTCTTCGATTTATTTTCAGGGACTTAAACTCTGGCTTCATTAATTGTTGCTTGACTGTTGGGTTTAACTAGCTTGAGCAAGTCGCGCAAACGGAGGCACAGGAGTGTCTGATCAAGAACTTTTATTCATTCTATACTTAATGACTCTTACTGGCTCTTCATCTGGATAACTGAGTCTCTGTGTCTCTCTGTTTTAGCACCAGGTACACGCTCTTAAATATCCCATCGATAAGCATATTTGGGCTTACGGGACAACTGACGTTCGAAGCAAAATCCCAGAACTCTTTCTTTAATCATCACCGCAATATTTCCGATTTTAATTCTTTTCGTCGTGTGATTTCTAACATTGTATTGCGGTGTTAAGTGTACTAAGTATATTTAGCAAGTTAGTTGTTTCGATTTAGTCACTTTTTTTGCTTGTTATATAGCATTAACTCGTTATTATAACTAGTTATTAAAGTTGTTAGCTCGAAGGCATTAGCATTTGGGTATTGCTCAGTAAATTTGAGACTAAAGATAGTTTATGTATGTATATATGTGCAGGAGTATAGATTGAAATGTCGGGGAAATCTGACGAAATTTTTAGGACAACCTGCTGAGGAAAAACATCTTATTCAGAGAATGTAACTCGGTTCTAATCATTTCAAGCTGTCGAAACCGAGAGGAGCTTAGTGAATGTTAATCAGTGTTTCCTAATTCAAGGGGACAAAGAATGAACAGGGAATGAAGTAATTAAAATCAGATGCAGCAGAAAGGGCCTGCTCATTCTCTAGTGGACCGCTGACGGGTCTAACTGTCAGGGAAAGTTCTAATGACTAGTCTTGTTTTCAGTCCGGCACAAAGGGACTTGGAGGTCTACGTTTGCTGCTTCCTCAGGACGAGATATTTATCCATTCCATGTCAACTCTTCCCGTACGATATCGATAGGATATCGATAGGTTAAGTTGTCAGTATGTCGGTAATCATCATAAATCCTCATTAAAAATTGTACATAATTTAAGATAAAGCACTCAACTCAGCAGAAAAGAGTTTTTTTTCTCACAAACATGGAACAATTACTACTCACAAAATGTGATTCTGCAATGCAACCTGGTTTTGGGAAGGGGGAATTCGAGGGGGTTGGATGTGGGAGAGTGGCACTTAAGTATCAGTCTGGCTGCCCTGAGGTTCTAAATGTCTCACAGGTCCTTATACGCCACCAATCGTTTTCAAACACTCGCGGTGAAGAAACGCGGTAGGAAAAAGGTTGATGGGAAGGGGATTACTATACAACCCCTCACACCTTGCTTCGATGCCAATTGAGTTCGCCGCCCACGTTATCAAAAAGACTGGGGCTGAGTCAAAAGTGGATTTCTTAAAAATATATTTTTCAGAGATCATTATGGCCAAATAAGTGCAGAATTTGGAGTCGTTTTGCTTTTCAAATTTCCTTTCGACCAATAAAATTTCTCTTCAAATGAAAATAGAAAAGTAACTACATGTCTAAAATTTTAAAATTTTTCAAACACGTGCAATACCGTGTGGAGTTTCCAAGTGGATCAGAGAAAAGTTATTTGACAATGATAAAAATAAAGTATTTAAGCACGGGTATTAAGTTCTCTTTCGCAATCCAACAAAGGTGACTTATGCCAATGTCGCTCTTGTGTCTGAAATGGATGCACGAAATTCATTGTTACTTAAGCCGCACTTAAACACACGAAATAAGCAGCATAAAGAAGTGGTACACATCAATATAAGCGATGAGTACGATTGGAATTTTGTATTTCAGTTGAAAAACCCTCGGCATGGCATGTCTGGTTTTGTTGATCCAGGCCTGGTCTATTACCAGACAGAGGTACTTTACTATGTAGTTATTATTAAAAGATAACTGATCCTTCCTTGTCATTAAAAGCAAAGATCTTAAGCCCTAAGACGATTTTAATAGTTGCATAATCGACAATTTGAAGGCCAATCATTTCCGATGTGAGGCTATGAGAGATATAAATGGAAAGGTTGAGAGGGATTTGTCGGCTCGTTTGTTCGTATTCATGTTTGTTCAACTGAAAAATATTTTAAAAAACTTATTTTGAAAATTCTATAACATACTCAAACATAACAAACATAACATACTTTTTTTGAGCCATGTTTCAAACGGCCGTAGTCTCATTGATCAGTAAGATATCAATGAAAAAGCTGCTGCCACGTGCTCTGAATTTAAATTATCCCATACCCTCTCCTCCCAAGGGTCTTGCGACAAGCTTGATTGGTTGGCCAAAGATCACATGACTTAATTGGCTTAAAAACCCATAGTATAATCGTTGTAACATCCCTATACCTGCACGTACACGGTATTGGAAATTAAAGGCCCAGAGTCTTTCCAAATGGATCATTTCCACTGATATTTCTCAATAATAAGCTAAATTCTTTTTAAAACAACGTCCTACCTGATCATTGTTCATTGGCGGTCAATGACTGCCTCTGCTTTATTTAATTATACTTTGATATTCTGGAATTTGCTCTTTTAAGACAGCTTAGCAGAATAGGATAAAGCTCCAAATAAGAAATACCAAGAGTTTTTTTGGTATTTCCCATTTGGAGTTCACAGGCCATAAAACAAACCTGGGAAAAGACCTTGTGACTGCAATGTGAAATTAACCCCTGTGAGAATGTCTTCAACTTCAACAAGGTGTCTATTAGCTTACATATATTGCCTCAGTAGACAGCGAGTTTCTTTATTACAAAACTATAAGCTAAATAACTTTAATTTCGCCATTTACATCATTTATACATCTTGAAAACTTGTACCATTTGTCCTCTAATAAGCTGATTATTCACTGAGTATTAAGCAATGTTAATAAAATTTCACGCTGAGCTGGGCAACAATGCTAAGAGAGTGGTATTACCATCACGAATTTTTTGAGGGCTACACTGGTGTTTTTGATATTTTGAGAAATTTTTGAGAAACTTTACCGCATATTTTGAGTGCACTCTTTATAAACTTCCAGCTTCAAGTCAACAGTTTTCATTCAAATCCTTGCAGCATTCGCCTGATCGTTGTCACGTACAGCTGATTTAATGGTCTAGCTAATTCATTCACTTAAATCTCACTATTAGAGCGGCCTAACTCAGTACTAGTGGTAAGGAAAAAACAGTTAGATTCTATCGGTGAGGACACCCGTCCACGCAAAAAATTCCCACATAACCCCAACCCTCCCAGACTGGGGAGCCTTCCTTTTTGTTAAGTGGTGGTCACTATGTTGCATGGTCTAACAGATCTGTCGGGCTAATCCTAATCCCGAGAAACATCTTACTTACAACGATTACTGCCCCAAGAAGCCGTTGTCAGATTGCACAGGATTGCAATTCGCACGGGCTCAACGAAAAAAGCTACCCTCTGATCTATTTTAACTTATATGTACTGAATACTAAATATCGACCGAAAACACTTCACACAGTAATCACCTTAGTTTGTTCCCTGAAGCAAATGTACAGGTAACAGATAATGATCAGGACATTTACATATATTTGCCAAAGTCGTTTATTCATAATAAAGTAACGCATAAACTTGAAAAAGTTCTACGAATTTGAGTAGGTAGTGAAACGCCACCGCCAATATTCTTCACTATCCAGCTGATACTTTTACTTTTTTTACCGTTACGTAACCTCAGAAGCTCAATTTTCCTCTTTCTCCTCACCTTTACTCTCTCTAATGCAGAAATAATATCTTTAGGTAAAAAGCCCACAGCCTTTCCGCATGCTCATTTTTATAGGATTAGTTGTGATAAACAGGGAAAGCCGATATTAATGATGTTTATCCCATTAACAAAGCTGATAGAATGGGCGAGAATCTTTGAAGAGCACGACTTCCGTCAGGAAAGAGCAAAAGCTTGAGACAAGCCAATATCAGTGTAGTTTTGTTTTCATCTTCTCCATATACACCTAAAAATTTTTTAGTTACTCAAAACTTATCAAACTTAGACTTTAGTGCAGCACTTATTCCAAGAGAACATGCTAGTTTCCTTACAAACCTTTAAAGAAGAAATTTGATACCAAAATGGAGTGGCTCGTGATACTGTTAGTTATTTTGATTGTGTACATGTTTAGTACACGTGTTGAAGAAAGCAAAATAGATTTTTGCAATAGTCTGCACATGCGCTAGTAAACTCTTGGGAAAGCTATCTGTGATTTCATGTCAGATGTAGGCGAGAATCAGGTAACCAGCAGCGCAAGTATACAAAATAACAGCTTCTGCTGCTGAAGACGCGAATGCCTCTCGAACCCTGCAACGATTGTGAGATTTAACATGAATTATTCTTCAAATAAGACCACCGAAAGAGCTTTTTGCAATAAAATACAGAGCTGATATGGTCATCTGACATGGCGGGTGGCTTAAAGGTAAGGGAAGGGAACAAATGGGTTTGGTGATATGCATACCGAAGAAGGGAAAGAAAAAAAACGTGTTATCTTGCATCATAAACCTTCCTTTAAGTGAACAGTTTCCTGGAATTAGCAGCAGCAAGTATCTTTTCTTGGAACCAGTGAAATTAACGTTGACGCCATAGTTGGAAAAATACGCTGGGAATAAGGCGCAAAATATTGTTCAGCCGTGTCCAGTACAGGCAATACAACAGTAAACAATGGTTATGCATCATCGGCTCAGTATCCAAACAAAAACATCTTGTGTTTAAATTGTTTTCACGACATTTTTTTCATTCCTCCCACGCTCATAGTCCTAAAACCCCCTTTTTTTGTTCCGCGGTACATTGGGGAAATAATGTCATGTAAAAGGAACAAGGGGTCGAAGCTCAGTGGAGCTGACTTCCCCGGTAACACAACACAGCCAAATAAGGTGGAAGTCCCAGCACATTGAGGTAATCAGAAGCTATATGTATCGTCCGTTACCCATAATCTGGTTTTTTCTGGATTTGCCCATCATCCGGCTTTGGTAGAGTATCGGGTATTGAGAACTAACCACACCAGAATAAACTGAGAGAAAATAAAATTTAATAAATATCTGTGTTTGACTATCGCAAACACATGTAACAGGCGGTGGATTACAATTGGCGTTTGTAATATAGGTATATTCTTAATTTAAATTACTTTTATGTCAACGATTTTTTTGTAGACTTATGAAGGCGTTTCTGAAAGAGTCATAATCGTGAGTGTTTCAGCAGTCACATAAAGGGCCTTACAGAAATATTATTCGATAAAAATGATCAGTATCAGTCATTTAACAAGCGTAGCATAAGCGAGAAAATAATTTGGAGTATATTAACTTTGATGATGCTCTAGTGAGAAGTATGATGTGATAGGATTTGATCTTATCCGCTTCTAAATGTCCTTCATACAAGTTATTCCTAAAATTTCCTTATCTACGGACATGAAATACGCGAACGATGCCGTAACATGACAGATAATATGGGTCGTCTTATCGTTACAGTCATATTTTGCAGTTTTTCTTGGATCAGAATTAACATAATGCAATTACCGTCGATCGTAAGTGTTTTCGTGATGATGTATCTGATAGTTTGCTCAAGTTTCCACAGAGATTATCTCGAGTATGTGGGCAATTTACAAACAAACGAAAGATAAAATTAAACGTTTGACGAGTTTATCATTCATGGTCTTCACTCATTGTCCCTTGAACGATGAAACATTACCTTGCTTAAGTTTAGGCAAGGACAATGCCTCTTTCTTGCTTCCTTGTGGATTATCCGAGAGCGGCTACGTCGCTCTTCACTTGATGCGCGATCGACTATCATTTCACTTTCAAAT